GTACAATTTGAGATTTTTGGATGTACTTGTCTCCATTCATTTCTGTCTCTTAATTAGCAGGAACTCACTTGAGTCGTGACACACTCCATATTGGTTTCAAGTGTGTTGCATGATCATTTCATTCACATTGATTTGTGGTGCTCAAATACAGAACAAATATTTAATACAACTTGACAAAAATAATATTTTAATATTTGAATGCAATTTCAAATTATACTGAATACATTGAAACAGCGCCTGTGTGGAATGGTGAAAAAATACATTTTGATTCCTAAAACAAAGCAACATTTATTTTGATTGCGATGTAACATGGATGTGATTTGCAGTAAATGACAAAAAGTGTTTTCAAGGGTTTTTTGCTTTTCCTACAGATGTTGTTAAAATATTTTGGCTGTGACGATCAGAGCAAATGGCCAACTGACTGATGGTAACAACACCAAGACAGCAGGTAAGAGAAGAAAGCAAGGTGAGTAGAAGGAGGAAGAGAGAGATGGATGTGTGATTAGAATCGGTCATCACAATGACAGAAGGTGAGAAATACAGACGGACTTCAGCAATAGGGCTCTCATATTTTCATGTCAAAAGAAAATGACCAGATAAATATATAGCTCTCAACTAAAATAAGATCATGTCTCATTCACTACCTTGCACAAATTCTTAGATGGGATAAAGTACAGAACTTTATTCTGAACCAAGCCTTGATTTGATCACTTATTCCACAAGCATCTATTCCATGAACAAAAGCAGAATATTCCTAATTTCAGTGGCAGCATCTTTGTCAAATAAAAATAGTAGATAACACACTGTCTAAGAGGAAGCTACAGTGAGTCAACAGGGCTCAGCGCGAGTGGATAAAAGCTATTGATCTGCAATCAACACGCTCCGTTTGAAACGTCTAAAGGTAAAGCCTCCTCACAAATGTCAACGGCATTTGAAGGAATCAATGAAGACTCCTCCTTCAGACGCATCTCATTAATGCGTTGGCGCGCAGAAAGGCTGCTCGCCATAAATCAGTCACTTTATTGTCAGTAGTTAACAGAGACAAGACCAAAGTTGATAGAGGAGCAGAGAAACTCATAACGCAAGCAGCTTCGGCAAAGACACCACTTTATAGCACGAGTGTCTGTGGTGTGTGTGTGTGTGTGTGTGTGTGTGTGTGTGTGTGTGTGTGTGTGTGTGTGTGTGTGTGTGTGTGTGTGTGTGTGTAGGGGGTGTGGGGGCTTTTCATCCACTCCAGTTACTAATCACAGTCTCATTCTCTCTCCCCCTGCATAATTCTCCCCCTCGCCTTTATAAATCTTTCCTCCCTCTCCACCTCTTCCTCTCTTTCTGAGGGCAGAGACAGCAGATGTGTTGGCAGCCTAAATGACCTCTGTGATGTATGACTTAACAAACCCTAGGCATCCATCAACCCTAGTGTGTGTGTGTGTGTAACAAAGAGAGAGAGAGATGCTCATAAAGTACAATTTTAATTCACCTTCAGCCCAAACTTGTGCCTTACAAACACCCCGTAGAGGCCTCTCTTCTCCTCACCCAGAAATCCATCCCGTTTCCCCTCTCATTTCATGAATGAGTGTGTGTATGTAGATGTGCTGTATACATGAATGTGAATGAAGCGCCTCAACAGAGTGATTACATTGGCCAGGATTCCCTCAGTCTGCTGCATAGATAGACTGATGATAGACGCCCTTCCTGAACCCTGCATGTATGTGTGTGCAGTAAACCTTACATGACGTGAGACCATAGCAAAAGTTTGAGAGAGTTAGTCAAAGAAAGTGAGTTTGCATGAGGGAAAAGAGGGGGTTTCGGTGCTTATTGATCTTTTATTGTCACTCCAGTGGGGATATTGTAAATTGCTTATGTGAAAGATTTCATCACAGCAACCAGAACACGTTTCCCCAGCTCTGCTGCCACGGTCGTCCATCAGCCCCGCGCTGACAGACGACGGACGTGCCCTCTCCACGCAGTAATTACAGGAAGCCAGGCAGGAGCTGCTCCAGGCACATCCTGGCACACCGCTCACCTGGATGACTTTTTCCTCTCTCAATTTGTTATAGGGTTTGAGTTTAAAGGGTATAAAAAGACAAAATCAGGTCAATCTGTCAGAGATAGCCATGTATGGTTTCAGGTACTTTTTATACTCAGGACATATCTTATTTTATGAGTTTAAAGTAGGTTTCCACAATTAAAATATAGGAAAATGTAACACTTAAGTTTGATAAATATATTAATAAACTACTTTTAATTTAGTTTATTATTCATAATATTGTCTTCAGGGAAATTGTTGTCATGAACTTTAGAATCAGAATTCCTTTGTTGTTCCCCACAGCTGGGAAATGTACAACCCTGCTATTTAAAAAAACAAACAATCCAACACAATGGAAACATATATTTAAACAATAGAAAACCTTAGCATAATTTATTTATTTGTGTCTTTGTGTAAAGATTCATGACATGATTTGAGTTTTTTTTGTTTTACTTTTGTCACTGTCGCAACTTGTGACTAACTGAATTCCAGTAAATACTTTATGTAATACTTTACTTTAATCTGGAGCCTATTTGTTTAATCTTTCTTTTACACAATTTGATTGGCTAACCTTCTGGTTGTAATGAATATTTTGGGTGTCATGTTTAGCAGCTTGTCTTTTGACTCTCTGATTCTCCTGCTAATTGTCTCAGCAGGGCAGCTGACCAAGATGGCCGCCCTGGCCCCTGGACTACTGTGACTCTACTCTGCCAACAAAAGAGAAGTTGAGGAAAACACCAAGGAGAAACAAAATACTTCACCCATCCCTCTCCCCAAGAGGTGCCAGATCTTTATTTCACTCTTTTCACTCTTCTTTTTCTGTCTCAGTGCCCACAAAGTGATTGGAAAGCACACGACAATCTTTTTTTGTTGACGTTCGATGGCGCGTGATAATGTGGTCATTATCATCGCTAAAGGAACAGGTTGGGGCTCAGACAGGGTTTCATTGGGGGCCTTTATGGCACGCACGCACGCACACACACACACACACACACACACACACACACACACACACACACACACACACACACACCAACCCACACTCTCAGTGTGGGAAAATAATGCATTTAAAAGAGGGACAGCTGTTTGGGTGGCTCGTGAGGATGGCAAGATGGCCTACTGTAAACTCCACCTGTGCACACGGCCATGCCTCAGGCTGTGGGGGAAAGCGCGGGCAGCGTGGGAGCCTGTGATTTTGTCCGGTCCACATGGGAGGTGTGTATTAGTGTGCCGGGCTCCCCAAAATGACACCCACATAGATTACTAACAGGCACTCCCAGAATTGAGCTTAAAGTAAACGTAATCTTCTTTTAACTTCTATACAAATATAACCTTTGACTGTTTATTACCCATTGCTGTATGTTCCTTTAGTATTATTTATACTGAAATCAATATACTAGTTTTTTTTAAATGTAACTTACAACTTTAATAACTTACAGATACTATTTAAAAAAACAACAACATAATCATTTTTTTTTCCAAATTAAAGAATAGAGATCTGTTACAGGAAGAATTCTCCAGACTAGTGAAATGTTTTGTTTTTGTATATCAGAAATCAGATGTACCTCCTTATGCCTGTTTTTGCCAAGTATTTAGAATAATCTACATGACCTACATTTGACCAATCTTTATGCATTTTGAAAAATATTTCATTTCAAGAAATAAAATCTAGGCTCTCATGGAATCACCAACATGAATATTGCGCGCCGTCAATCACTCAATTTAAACGTTGTGTGTGTGTGAGAGACTGTGTGTTGGCGGCTGAGTGGATGAGGAATGTGATTAACTTTTCCGTCTATGTGTGTCCAGCTGACTTCATTCAGGCTGGTAATAGAACAATAGAGATGAAGAAAGGGCAAGGAAGCAGTTAATACCAAACAAATGAAGAAAATGGATTAAATCCTGCTGGTTTATTAAATTTGAAATTCAAATGAAATGCTCCCTCTTTGGTTTTGCACATATATTAAGAGGCTGAGGATCATTCTAGGTTATTGCCAGAGTGTGCGTCATCATATAGGTTAAACACGAATGATTTAGGATTTCCGATCTACCTGTTTGCATTCAATTGATTAAAGTGTTCCCTCATAGTCATGCAGCTTGAGTCTGAGCTTGCATGGGCCAGTATTTAAATGCTCTATAAAACTGAGGAAAGAACAGGAAGAGGTGTTTTTGAAAGACAACATTTGTTTTGTGTTGAATGAGATGAAATTGCGGAGGCAGTGGTGGTGTCCTCCCCTCCTTGCCCCAGGGCTGAGTAGATCCGCCCCAGGGACAGGATGGGACGGACTGGGCCTGCCTCTCATTCATCAGCCTTTCCCTTTGTATGGCTCCACAACATCAGTAAAAAACAGTTTAAATAGCTAAAACAGCTTATCTATCTGAAACATTCAAAAACATTACAGTAATTACTTTTTTTTACCAAAAAAGAAAACGTTGTCTAAACTGTCCACAAGGCGCCCCTCTCAAATGTGCTGTTGCTTTTGAGATTTGTTTGTTAAATTGTGCACATCTTCACACAAAATCCTTGCATTCAAATGTTATTGAATACCACACTGACATAGATCTTTGGTGACTCCGGGCGCTTACATTTTGCCCTCTTTGCCTGGTTCACCATGGAGCTGTTTGAGCTCCAATAAATGATACAAATCTGCATCAAATAATAAAAAATAACAACCAAATAATGACACATCAGCAATTTAGCATACATGTTCAGCCATACCTGTTTGGAGGTAAGTGGTCTAGGGTGTGTTTTGTTTAAATAGCTCCAGTGAATTTATTGTCTGTAACTTCATATTTTCTCCCACTTGTTGCAATTTGGAGCGCGCCACTCGCGAGACTTCACTTTTTAAATTTACGACAACGACTTAAGAGGCCAAATATTTAGCAACAATGGGAGCTGGTTTCTGATTGGTCCTCTGGCTCTTAGAGGCACTTCAAAGCCAAGAAGACGCTACAACTACTAAAGCAGCGGAGAGGAAACACACACTCATCACAGTCAGTCAGCGCGAGCACACACACTCAGACGAAGATATCATAGACCATGGCTGCTACACTGCTCGGGGTAAGTTTAACATTTTGCCAAAACATCCTTATCCGAGAAGTCCTGAAAAATATTGATTTGATTATCCTTTAAGGGCTTTGTTCGTTATTGGAATTCAGGAGACGCAGTTAACTCCGTACATTTTATATTCAACTCCGATAAACGTTCATGTTTATATAATAGGCTTAATATTATAAAAATACTTTATTAATCAGCAGACATCAATTGTTTTCAATCGTATGTTTTCTTACCTGTTTTCACTGATCATGTCAGAGTTAGTGAACGCTGGCTCATGTCGAGCTACCAGGTAAATGCTTGTTATTGAAGTGAAATTACGAGGCACTGTAAAATACTTATTTTAGAAACCTTGCCACTGTATTGTAATACATGTAGTTGCGATAAAGTGAGGGTCTATCAATTTAGTTACTTATTCATAATATGTAAAAGTTTACCTGCCGTAATGTCTGTTGAGTTTGCTGACAATTTGGAGACGCTGCTCCATTGTCTGATGGATCTAATCCAGAGGATCACTGTTCGTAAAGCGTTCACCATGTCACATTCATTCTGGGCTTCATCTGCGATGCCCAAAAAGTTAAGCGCAGTTGTTTAATATTTTGCGCGTCTTTACGCACACCATGTTTAGCCAAGACTCTGTAGTGACCGGTCTAAATGTGTATGCGTGTTCCCCACAGGAGGAGCCCCGGCTCGGCAGTGCGCCGCTGGCAATGTTGGCCGCCACCTGCAGCAGGATCGGTGAGCCCAGCCCCTCGTGCTCCCCTGCTCTCTCCGATGGAGCCCCAGGATTCGTGAAGGGCTTTCATCCGTGGAAGAGAGGGGCGCCTGGACACAGCAGCCTCGGTGCATGCTTCACTTCCCTCGGGGTTCCCCCAACATCCAGGAGTAACGGGACCGGACTGACGGAGAACACCAGCGCATTCTCAGTGACCAACTCTGCTTTTGGGAATGATTATTCAATGTACCAAACCTGTGTGCCATCAGAAAACACTGTTACTGATCCTTCACACGTACAGAGATCCATGTATCTGGCCAAATTCCCCTCCTCGGTGGAGAGCATAACAGGGATGTATCCCAGGATGCACACACATCCCTACGAGTCATGGTTCAAACCAGTGGCAGAAGTCAGTAATGGGTCTGCTGCTTGGTGGGACATGGGAACCAGCTGGGTGGACACACAGAGCACAGCCGGGTTACCCTCTCCTCTGAGCGGCTACAGCACTGAATACAGCTCCGCTTTCGGTCCCGGGGCCTCTCAGCACCTGCACCCCGCCACACAGCACCTGTTTGACGGATTCAGGCCACCCGTCCCGACCCCCTACACTGAGTCAACGACGACAGGAACTCCCGTCGTTTCTCTGCCCGCATCTTCCCGCTCCTCCTCAAGGCGTTACTCAGGCAGAGCCACGTGCGACTGCCCGAACTGCCAAGAGGCAGAGAGCCTGGGCCAGGGCGGCACAAGCCCGCGGCGAAGGGGCCTCCACAGCTGCCATATCCCGGGTTGTGGCAAAGTTTACGGCAAGACGTCTCACCTGAAGGCTCACCTGCGCTGGCACACCGGGGAGAGGCCTTTTGTCTGCAATTGGCTGTTCTGCGGGAAACGCTTTACGCGCTCGGATGAGCTCCAGCGGCATTTGCGTACACATACCGGGGAAAAGCGCTTCGAGTGCTCCACGTGCCACAAACGGTTCATGCGCTCAGACCACCTCGCCAAGCACGTGAGGACGCACAGCGCAGATGGCTCAGAGGATGGCGCGGAACCGGGACTCGGTAAAGGCAGCAGCGACACGGACAATAGCCTCTCCGGGAGCCCAAACCAGTCTCCCGGGCTTCACGTCCCAGCCACCGAGGGACAGTCACAGTGTGCTGTGGAATAATTTACAAAACTTAGCAGGAACAAAAGCAACGCGTGGGCATTTTGATCATTGGCGGTTCTAGAGGGGTAACACTGTTGCTTGGACCCCCCTGTGGCCCCCCTCCAAAAGACTAAATCTATGATAATGCAATTTGTGAAAGTGTTACAGCCAATACTGTGCTGTAACCTGGTGCAGGAATGGGTTTTTTTCAGTAATGTAATTAAATATATTGAAACTAAGTTACTGAAACTAATTATGTTACTAAAACAAATACCAACATATATTAAGATATCAAATGAAAACAACGTTTGGCTGCATGAATAACGTATTAATTACCGCAAAATGCATTACGGGTAATGGTAAAGTAAATAACTAAACAAAAACACAAATCCTGTTATTGAAACAAAAAATAATAATTCTATTTTATGTTTCCTTGTGCTCTATGATTTCATACTGAACTAAAAAACTCCTTCAGTAACTGGCCCCATCACCGCCCCCCAGTACTTGGTCTAGAACCGCCATTGGATTTGATTACACTGTACCAGCCTGTATGGAGTGTGTTTTCTCGAACACTTAAAAAACAGAAATGGCACTTTACGATGAACTTCAGCTGTGGATAAACACTGTGTCCTTACCTCATCTTATATGTAGCCTTCTTTAATAACACATTTGTACTCTACAGTTTTGTTCTGAATTGTGTTATTTGATTACATGTTATGCAGCTAATTTATTCTACAAAAAACCTTTTTGTTTAGAATTTAACTGTTACATCATTATATGGGTTATTTTTTTGACATGATCGCGCTAAATTTTAATTTATCGAGATGTTTGTTTATAACACTAAATTGTTCTGATTTATCTCTGCCTGTAGGTGATTATACTTACTCAATAAAACAGGACATTTTGGGACATGTCATATTTTGTTTCTCTTTGAACCTTCGTGTGATTTAACTTTTGCATGTTTTTTTACATTATCCTTCACTAAGGAATATTGTTTTTTGAGTTAAAAATATTAAACAGTAAATAACTCTTATCATCCTGACTATCCTAAACCAGGAATATAAATATATAATTTAATGTAATAATCAAAATTGCAGCAATTAATAATAATTAACTGCTAGAGTTCATCACATTGTATATGTTTTGACTTAGGTGTTTGTCTGGATGTAGCCTATCACTGTTAGCACAGACATGCACACTTATATCAAGCAGACTCAAACTTAAGGTAACATTTCAGTTGCGCTCTGGTGTAAAATAAGGCCTGGAGCATGCTGCGAAACATTAATTTCCCTGATCAAAGTATTGAAATGATATTGAGTTTGCGTTGCAATGCTGATAAAAGAATGATATCTGATCGTTAATCAAACATTGTATTCTTTTACACTTCCTCTCTCTGTTGGTTCAATGTTTAAAACGACTCTCGTCTCAGTTTCCTTAGAGTGCGTCTCCACCTAGTGTTCACTTTTTATGATCACCCTTCTGTTGGACCACATGGGTTGATCACACATCGAAGTTTTGCACATATTTTGTTGCTTCAAATATATTTAAAAAAAATCAAATCTTCACAAAACTAAACAAAAACATTACGTGCAAAATGCAGGCTGGAGGAATCGTGTCTTTCTTCATTTGGGACTGCCTTGTTTTCACGTTTTTCCATAAATCAGCCCAAACTAATTTTCCACAATTACTAAAATGATGTAAAAGTAAATCATACACACAACCTGAAAAACTTAAAAACTCAATAGGTGGTAATTAAAAAATCTTGCACATTTTATTGTGATGGAAACATTCATGCTACACAACTAGTCACATTATTTGCCAGCAAAACTACACATAAAAGTGCTGTTGTTACTCCGAACTCAGTGCCGGGTTAGATGAGATGATTATAGCCTTATTGCTGAATCATTCTCATGGTTAAAGATAGATTGGTCTTCATAAAAACAAACTGCTCTTGCAGCCTATAACTCAAGTAGCCTTATCATAAAACAGCAGAATTATCATAAATACAATAGAAAGAAAAACAAATCACAATAAATTATAATTAGTGTTCCCGACTTACAGTAAAAGAGAGCAGCTTTTGCTGTAAACAAAATTGGGTTAAAAACAATTCAAATAGAGGAACAGGATTGGGCAAGCAAACGTTTTGCCAAGATGCCATGCAACTGACACTCTGGATTCAGAGGATATAGTGCATGAGGGTTTACTTCCACCTCTGATCTCAGTACCTTCAGAGCTCATTTGTACCTTTGCCCTGGAGTTTGAGTCTAAACTTGTCAGAAATGGCTCTGCAATGATCAGCAGATGCATGCAGACACAGTCCTGCTGCTGTCTCTGTTAAAGAGGCTGCATGTGTAGGCGTTTGATGAATCAGTTGCCATTTTTCAATCTATTGTTATTCCAGTGATGTGTTATATTGGCCTTAAATGCACTTAACGCATATACAGATATCTTGTAATGCCCAACATTAAGCAAAAATCATTTAAAACCACAGCTTTTCTAACCCAGACCTCACATGTTTCAGTAGTATAATGCAAAAATAATTGTCCTAGTGCAAGTCTAAACATATTATGAAAAACACATGAAAGTAGATTCTCACTTATGGTAGAAAAATGCCATCAATTAACAGTAATTTGCAATGCAGTTGATCCATTAACAGAAATGCAACAAATAAACTACGAAGACCAGGCATGCCAAAGATGAATGAAGATCTGATCAAATTAAGAGATAAAAAAAGGCATACAGAGTCATTGGTGTGCTTTGGGAATTACTGTAAGTCCCAAGGCAGTACAGTAGAGGTCAGTAATGTGATGACAGTGTTATTGCAGAAAAAAAAATGTAGTACCTCAAGCTGGCCACAGGAGGGCAGACTAAGACAGGGAGATTGTTCAGTTGGAGCTTTGTAGTGTCATACAATCCCATCATCCTAAAACATAGTGTTCTCAATATAGAATCATAAATATACCGCCTAGATAGAGCATACACGCACCTATCTGCACCACACACACACACACACACACACACACACACACACACACACACACACACACACACACACACACACACACACACACACACACACACCCATAAGTTAAAGCAATATTTGCTGCCTCCTTGCTGCTACTGAGGAAGAAGAGATGGAGGACATGTGCTCTTTGTTTCATCTCCATTTCCTGGATACTGGCCACATCAGTCACACAGTCGATAAGAGTTTGGTCAGGTCATTTAACAAATGTGATTCCATGGAGGTTTTCATAGTTTAGTTTATCATTATCAGTCTCCACGTGCAGCTGGTTGAAGTTGAATGATCATTTAGAAGCAGAAGCGAAGCCTGTATTTGACTTTTCTTCTCTATACTGACTTTCTTCTGTCTTTGCTTAGTACTGCCAGGGGTCACCCAGGGGCATCTTGGAATCCTGGATGTGCATCTCCACAGGTCGGTCAGGTGCACTCTCCCTCCTGTAAGTTACTGTCTTCTCGTTGCTTGTTGGGATGTATGAAAGGTCCTGAAGGGTGACAGAAATGTGAAGTCAGTAATAGGCATTTCTGTTTTTGTGGGAAGTCATGTGAGTTCAAATTTAGCGCAGCAGAAGAGGATATATCTTCACCTTTAGTCCTTTTATGTGGGTTATGTTGTACAACTTTCGTCTGTCCCTGTAACGTATCCCCATGTAGCTTGTTTGCATATTTTGGCAAAAGTTATTGCTCATTTTGTCTGTTCTACTTCAAATTTAAGAAGCTAAAATTGACGTTTACACAACAAAGGTACATTTTAGCCTCTTAAATGAATGCTCTCTTCTCAAAACTAATTTCCATATTCACAGGTTAGAACTTGGTTAGGTTCAGGCAAAGATAGCGGTTTGGGTAAAATGACTTAGTAAGTGGCAAAGTTACGTAACAAATACACAGACGTCTCCTGCGTTAAAATCAGTCCCTGAAGAAGTAGAGCTCTTAAACACCTGCAAAACTTCCAGCCAATGTAAATATGAACTTTCTCCTGAGAGTGTTACATCATGCTATAAGTAAGAATGCAAATGTTACCAAAAACAGATGCATACATTTTTAAAGTCTATAATCAGCACTGTCATTAAGACTATTCGTGGGGAACCATGTGTTTTAAAACAATTTCATGCCAGTTTAGGCACACATATATTCAGAAAGCTCATTTCAAATATCCATAGTTTCCTTCTTCTCAAAGGTGCTGTACATCATTGTAAAATCACAAATCTGGACATTGTTGGTGTCGAGCTGGGAGTTGAGAGGAAATGCAAAACACAGCTGTATTTCTAACAGCAGGCTCACATTCCTCACTGCTGCTTTCAGCAAACACTACACATGAACACAAATATCTCAAAGAGTTGAGGGATCCCTGTTCCTCTGAGGGCTACAGAAACACCTCCACCTCCTCTCAATTAAACCCTGCTGTGTTGAGGAGCGCCTCAAGCAAACCCTGTGGTGGAAAGATCCACCTTGGGACCCGTTATCGTTTGCGGGGTCCGTTTCCGCGTTTACGTGTCGGCCTCGTGTGAACGAACGGGCTATACGCGAGAGAAAAGTAGCAGATACAACCCGTTTTTGTCCTTGTGTAAACGGCACCTTATAGTACATTCAGTCAAGTAGCCTACTGTACTGCTACTTCATACTTCTACTCCACTACATTTTGCATGCTAATAATGACCATTTCACAACCTTAGTTTCTAGTAACTTTGCATATTATATTAATAATACAAATATAAAATCGTGAAATGACCTATGATGTACTATGATATACTTGGGAGTATAAAAAGGCATTCAAGTTTTGTCCACCGTTCCCGGCAGCATCACATTAATGCAAGAAAAATGATAATCCAGTGATTTAATATATATTCCGGAAACAGCTTTTCTGCATGAAGATAACTTTTCTTTCTGGTATTTTAGGTATAAATTGATGATACTTCTTCTATCATTTTACTATAGTAACATTTCAAATTCTACTTTTAGCTGAGTATTTCTACGTTTTAGTGTAATAATTCTGACTTAAGTACAATTCATGAGTACTTCTTCCTCCACTGAACATCCTTGACTCTCATGCCTCATTCACACCAACGCAACTCCGGTTCAAGCTCCGTGCTAGAGCTTTTCAGGTTCAGAACCGGTTCTTCGGTTTAGCTCCGGCTCTTTTCACACTGCCCAGAGTCCGACTGATGC